AGCAGTGGTGCTTGAGCGGAACCTCATGGAAGAGGTAAAGAAATGAAAAATGAATTGTTCTGTATGTGCATTATTCATGTATTTATTTTCCTATTTTTTTTCATGAGCTCATCTTTAGCTACATTTTCAGAGAGGAAGGCATCAAGTTTTAAAATTCTGCAGTCAATTTCCTGTTTTATAACTTCTAATAAGAATCAGATATGCAAAAGTGGCAATTTTTTTTCTTAATAATATCTCTTAAGAATGAAACAAAAGAGGCGCTGTGGTCTCATCAATGCTACAGATTTCCTCCACACCACCACTGTACTGATCAAAAAGCATAATGGACAGTTCCTCATTTCTTTCCGAAATTGCTTTATTTATATTTGAATAAATTCTGAAATCTGGTCATGGTGTGTTACTTATAACCTCAGTATTTTATTATCAAGATTCATAAATTACACAGCATTTAGATAAAAAATGCATATTGCAGAGTTATTCTGGCTTTTTATATGCCCCCAAGAGATTAATACTAAATGTATCAGATCTGAGAGAGTAAGGAGGATGAATGGCTACAGGAACTCATCAAGGGCTTGGAGGCTTAATGTAGATAATTCTTCCATTCTAATGCTTTGAACTTTGGTTAATGATTATTATAGATGAAAGAGAATGTGGCTTACCACAGTCCTCAAAGATTTACATATTAAATTCCAAAGCCAGCAGGTAGAAGTCTGAAATAGGACAAGTTTGTCCTCAATCTTCCCTTACTTGGTTCACATTCTGGGGGGATCATTATAATCCACTTTGGTTTTACATTTGAGTTTGTCCTCCTAAAACTTCCCAACCCTGGCTTTTTCTTCCCCCATCACTATCCACTCCATATCCTTCAAATCAAGATTCCTTTTCCTGGCTTCAGTGGTCTCAAGTACAGATTTCTTTTGGTAAGCTAAGTAAGAATATGACACAAAGCCATTTGTATGTACTCTGTCTCATCTATTGATAATATTCATTGCTTCTCAACCAATAGTTTAAAATATGTCTACTACGTATTAGGCAATGATTACTGATAGTGAACCATGCCTCCACCCTCCCCCCCCCAATAAAACCTGCTCTTGTGGGCCTTATTTTATGGTTGTGGTGTGGGGAAGACAGTAAGAAATAGCCAAACAAATATACATGTAGTGATAAGTGCTGAAGAGAAAAATAGAGATGGACAGGGTGTGTCAAAGGATTCTATATTAAATAAGAGATCAAGGAACAGCCTCTCTTAGAGGAGGAATTTGAGCAATGACCTGAACAACATAGGGAAATGAGCTACATGGATATTTGTGGGGAGAGCATTCCAGAAAAGGAAACACCACACACAATGCTCTCAGGAAAGCAGAGAGCCCAGGGTGCCTGCCGCAGAGTAAAGTGGGATGGGGGGACTGAGCAGATGAGGTGACACAGGGGACAAGGGATCAAATCATGTGACTGTGTAGGCCATTATAAAGACCTGGCTGAGGGTTTTGCATGGACTACCATGATGTGATATGAGTGTTTTGAATAGACTCTAGAGGGCTGGGCATTAGGCAGCCCAGTGGCTTGGACCACAGCGGTAGCAACAGAGGTTGTGAGAATGTCTGGAGTCTCTACACATGTTGAACACAGAGCCAACACCACTTGCTGACAGACTGGATTTGGGGAGTTCTTATAAAGTATTCCTCACTTGTCTTCTTTCTTCTCTTAGGTATGGGAAAGTCTGTAAGCAAAGCATAGCCTATTTCTTTATTTTTCTATATTTGGTACAGGGGATTGTGAGGAATCAGGGATTTCTGGGCTCTATTTGGAACTCTGCCAAAACAAGAAAGGACTGATCAACATTAGCGGTCACACACAATGACTAGACAGGACAAGAGTCTGATGGTGTCTTAGTCCATCTGAGCAGCTGTAACAAATTACCACAGACTGGGTGGCTTATAAACAAGAGAGATTTGTTTCTCACAGTTCTGGAGCCTCGGAAGCCCAAAGTAGCCACTGGCAGATTCAGTGTCTGGTGGAACCACTTCCTGGTTCACAGATGGCTGTGTCCTCACATGGAGGAATGAAGGAGGGAGCTCCCTGAGATCTCTTTTATAAAAGCACTAATTCCAGTCATGAGGGCTCCACCCTCATGACCTAAACACCTCCCAAAGGCCCCATCTCCAAATGTCATCACATTGGGGGTTAGGCTTCAACACATGAATTTTGGGGTGACACGAACATGCCATCAGATGGTGAATTGTAAAGTTACAGACCAGCTGAGGTTCTCAAGAGAGAGCTGATGCAGAACCACAGCTTCTGGCCACCTAGGAGATGAAGCCTTTAGATGACCTTGTTAATTATAATGAGAAGGCGATAAAGAACAATAAAGAAAATAGTCAATCAGGGTAGGAAATCTGGTCACCAGGATTTGATGGACCTGAGACATGGAGGGAAGGAATCAATGTCAGTTAAGGAGGAGAAACCTGGAGAAGACTCTCCTTTTGTCCTATAGATAAACCAAACACCTCCTTGGGCATTTTGAGCTCCCTTTTAAGGCAAGGCCTCTCAAGTAAAAATGAAGCAAGCCATTCCCGCATCATTGTTCACCATCTTACTATTAGTGAAGATACTGGGTAAACTTGTGGGATAATTGGGACATAATACACCTGGTCCAAACATCTGGATGCCAGGAGTTTCAGGTGTTAATAGAAATACTGAGATTGGCTCAAGATTATTTGCAAGGGTTCAAAGGTATGCTATCACTGCCCTCACGGATCACAGCTCCTATCTAATAGATTTGCAAGTCACCAACTCTTGCCTGAGGACAAACACCCTTATCTGAATAGTGGACATCCGTGGCACCTAGAAGAGAAATGGTGGAGGAAATTCTAGACTCCTAAAGAGGTTTCCTTGGGTTCTCCCTTACGTTAAAGGTAGGCTGGGCACTCTGGAAAACAGTATGGAGGTTCCTCAAGAAGTTGAAAATAGAGCTACCCTACGATCCAGCAATTGCACTACTGGGTATTTACCCCAAAGATACAAAAGTAGGGATCAGAAAGGGTACGTGCACCCCGATGTTTATAGCAGCAATGTCCACAATAGCCAAACTGTGGAAAGAGCCAAGATGTCCATCGACAGATGAATGGATAAAGAAAATGTGGTATATGTATACAATGGAATATTATGCAGCCATCAAAAGGAATGAGATCTTGCCACTTGCAACGACGTGGATGGAACTAGAGGGTATTATGCTGAGCGAAATAAGTCAAACAGAGAAAGACATGTATCATATGACCTCACTGATATGAGGAATTCTTAATCTCAGGAAACAAACTGAGGGTTGCTAGAGTGGGGGGTGGGGAGGGAGGGATGGGGTGACTGGGTGATAGACACTGGGGAGGGTATGTGCTCTGGTAAGCGCTGTGAATTGTGCAAGACTGTTGAATCTCAGATCTGTACCTCTGAAACAAATAATGCAATATATGTTAAGAAAAAAAAAAAAAAGAAGATAGCAGGAGGGGAAGAATGAAGCAGGGGAAATCGGAGGGGTAGAGGAACCATGAGAGACGATGGACTCTGAAAAACAAACTGAGGGTTCTGGGGGGGTGGGGAGGATGGGTTAGCCTGGTGATGGGTATTAAAGAGGGCACGTTCTTCATGGAGCACTGGGTGTTATGCACAAACAATGAATCAGGGAACACTACATCTAAAACTAATGATGTAATGTATGGGGATTAACATAACAATAAAAAAAAGGTAGGCTGGGAAGGAAGCCGACCTTGGAATATGGAACTTCATTATGAAATGGTGGGGAAATAGTACACATGGAAGATATAACTCTTGACTCCCTTCCCTACTTATCTCAAAGTCTTGCTTAGTGCTTTTTCTTCCTTATGTATGTGCAGATGTGCCTATAAAGCACGGCATATGCTTTATTTCTCTAAATTGCAAAGGAATACAGCTCGCCCTACTGCTTTTCATTATTGGATAAACCAAGGTGTCAACACAGGCCCTTAATAAGAAGTTGTAAACTCACCACCTGTGGAGAATTTGCATAAAAAGGAAAGATTATTCACTTTCTATCACCTAGCCAAATTTCTGTGCTAATGAATCTACTGGCTTCACATAAAATTTTAAATGGCACGTAGCCCCACTCCTGATAAAATCTCACCAAATAAGCATCAGAATCTCAAGATAGAATACTGAAATAATTAAAATGTTCTGCCATAAAAATAAACAATTCCTCCATAGACAAGAGTAGTATTTTCCCCAAACAGAAACAACCAGCACCTTGGGGGGAAAAGAAGTTAACCACATTTTTACATAATTTCATGAAAAGAGAAAAGACACAGGCTGCCCATTAACAAGGACCATGGAAAAATATTGCCCTGTAGAGGGAAAAACATGGCTAATTTGTAAATCCAAGTCTGCCTTGTATCTTCTTTCATTTTCTACTCCCAAAGGATGTATTTTAATACACCATTACTATTTTTAGTGAGGAAAGCTGACTACCACTATTCAAACTGCAAGTCTGAATTAAATTTAGTCATCAAGCTTAAAAAAAATAAACTAATGAGTAGAACTTCCTCCTCCTTCACCATTCATCTGTTTTCCAGGTTCTTCCCCTCGTCCTCATCCCACATTCCAAGCACTGAATGAGGATCTAATCTGCATCAGGCACTAGATGTGCTAGATACATGGAGACCTATCTTTACTCCCAAGGGGCTTCAATGTTGGGAGTTGGGTTTACTACGCAAAATGAAAATTCAAAAAGAACATGGTAAATTCTACACTAGAGATTGGAAAAACAACAACAAATAGTACAAAATCAGAAGAGAAACTTTATGGTAGTCCATTATTTTAAACAATTAACAAATAGTAATTTAGAGATGTTTTGTCCTTGGAAAAAGTATTAATTGTACTTTTGTTAAATGACCTAGACAAGTTTTTAGATTCAATGAACTCAGGTTACCTATTTGTGAACAGACTTCTAGAAAGCCACAACAATCAAGTTTTACCTTATGATAACACCTAAAATATGCAGCACGTTCATCGGAAAATTTCTCCAGTCTTTTTGGACCTTTGCTTGAAGCTTTCTTGAATACTAGCCAGCATCGCTGATATATCTGGGAGGAAATACAATGACAGAGTTCAGCATCACTGACTGAGATATTTACTGACATTTACATTTAAGTTTTCTTTCTGATGTTTTCATGTGTAAAGTATTCATAAGCCATAGTATCATGCTACTTTGGGAAAATAAAATTTTAAAACCCAAAACTGTTTCCACAACAGGCATGTTATGTCATTTGATTACTGGAATCAAATGAAAATGAATATTTAAAGGCAAATTTCTTAACGTTTCACTAACAGTGTTAGTAGCAACATTTCAGAAAAAGTCCCAGAGATAAAAATCCCAAATCAGCACAAATAATATAGGCATTCATGGCACATGCTCTTATTTCAAATGCAATTAAATATGGAAACCCTGGGCCCAATATATGCTGAAGACTTCACTGACAGCCCTAGAAAGAGATGGCCCCTATGTGTCATAAGACATCCCTTATAACTGAGGGTCAAAGTTGGGTGACACACTAGACTAGCTAATAAGTGACAGATAAACACCAATCAGATTCTCCCTCAGAATGTCCAACCCAGAGACTCAAAAACTACTGTCATACTGAGGCACAGGCTGAGTTGAGAGGTCAACCCTGGTAGGTTATAAACTGAGGTTGGTGACCATGTTGAATCACGTGCCTAATAGTTAAGCAGTGGAACCTGGTACAGAGAACTAGATAATTTCTATTCCAGACAGAAGAGACATTTTAGTCCTTTGTCATCTTTCTGTTGCTGACATCTGGTTTTCTTGGAAATCATCTCTGTCCCTAAGAGCTGAATAGAGCTCTTATCCGAGCAACCAAAGCTACCGAGATTGGAATAACCAATATAAATTAAATTAGACACTAAAATATTAATCATACCAAAGAGAGGAAAGTGCAAAGAGCTAATGAGTAAATGAAAAACAATGTTCTCCAAAAGCAAAATAAAATGAGATGTTTTAACCTAAAAATTAATAAGGATGTATATTAATGATAATATTCACTAATAGCAGAGATCTGAGTGGCACTCTTATACTCTCCTGGTGACCTCTAGAGCCCATCTGACAACAACTATGAAGAACCTTAAAAGAATAAGAATGTATCCTAAAGAAAAAGCCCAAATGCAGCCCAAAATTGACAGAGGAATTCTGAGTTCAAGAGCAGACAGGTGGGCACATATTCAATCACAATTATCTCCCTGATCCTTAAATCACCTTCTAAGTACCATATTTATGCGGTTTTGTATAGTCAACCCATAAATAAATTTTACGCACTATAAAGTTTAAAGAACCTCTGAGCTAGTAAGAAGAAACAAAAAGTCCACATAAAACATTTGGCCATTCAAACCATACTCAATTTAAAATGCCTTCTACAACTTTATTAGTAACTGGCAGGTGGATGAGGAATTCAGGTTTGCTACTACTTGTCTGCAATGCTGAGTAGATTCTGTTTTTCTCTTCTCACTCAGTAAACTAAACATTCATTAATCATTTTGTTTGGGGTGGTAAAAAGAACATGAACTCCACTCCACATTGAAGTTTTGCTCTGAATACAGAGGGTAAGATATGTGCCTCATCCTACTGAATGTATAATTCTAGTATTATTATTTATAATAATAATAAATAGAAACTACAAAAGCCTCAAAAATAAGGAAAGACAAAGTTAATGATAGTACTTCTATTATATACAGTAAGTATGTGGTACATAATATATGTAATACAATATAGATGTACGCATCTGTAAGATAATATAGGTAGTCATTGTATTAAAAATGTAGTAATATGAATAGTACACACAGTATATATAGTAAATTATGCTACACCAGTAATATATATGTTACCTATCTATAGGATACCATAGGTATATCATTTGAAATAAATTTCAGAAGGAATTTCTAATGACATGGAAAAGAAGGGGGGGTTGCTTGTTTTTGTTTTGTTTAATAAAAATTAATACTGTAAAATAAATGAAAGAGAATTGTTATTTCTTTTTTTTTTTTTAAGATTTTATTTATTTATTTGACAGAGAGAGAGCGAGCGAGAGCAGGAACACAAGCAGGGGGAGTGGGAGAGGGAAAAGCAGGCTTCCCGCCGAGCAGGGAGCCTGATGTGGGACTCGATCCCAGGACCCTGGGATCATGACCTGAGCTGAAGGCAGACGCTTAACTTCTGAGCCACCCAGGCGCCCCGAGAATTGTTATTTCTTAAATATCCAGAGGCATCAGTAAAATAGTACAATTAAAATCGATTCTATTGGCTTTCATCTTGCATAGTTATTAAACTTATCAAGAAATAAAAAAAGCAGGGAGACAGAAACAAAAAAGTAATTCGGCAGAGAAAGGGTAGCCTTTCAAACAACTGGCACCGGAATAATTGAATATCTGAAGGAAAAAAAACAAATACAAAAAAGCACAATAAACAAACACCTTAACCTAAAACATTCATCTTAAACAAAAATAAAGTCACAATGGACTTAAATATAAAACAAAACTTAAGACTTCAGGGAAAAAAAAAAAAGACCAAATTTGGGATCATGGTCTGGACAAAGAATTCTTAGACTTCATACCAAAAATACAATCCATAAAAGAAAAACTTGCCAAACTGTACCTTCTCAAAACTTAAAATTTTTCCTTTGTGAAAAACCCAATGAAGAGGATGAAAAGACAAGTTACAGACTGGGAAGAAATGTTTGGAAACCACAAATCTGGCAAAGGATTAGTATCTGGATACATAAAGAACTCTTAAAACTCAACAGTAAAGAATCAAACAATCCAATAACAAAATGGAAGGAAAACAAAAGACAAAAACCATGAACACACATTTCACCAAAGAGGATGCACAGATGATGAAGCACAGAAAACATTATTAGCCATCAGGTAAATGTAAATTAAAACCAAAATGAAATATCACTACACATCTATCAGATTGGCTAAAATAAAAAAAAAAAAAAATACCACCACCAAGTGCTGAAAGGATGCAGAGAAATTGGGTCTCTTCCACTTTGCCGGTCGGAACGTGGAATGCTACAGGCACTCTGAAACATAGCTGAGCAGTTTCTTTAAAAACTAAACAAGCAACATATGACCACAGTTGCTTTCTTAGGAATCTATCCCGGAGAAATGCAAACTTCCCCACCCCCAACACACACACCATCTGAACATAAATGTTCACAGCAGCTTGATATGTATCAGCGCAAAACTGAAAACATCCATTTATTCTTCAGTGGGTTAATGCGGTCCATCTATATCATGGAATACTACTTAGCTATAAAAACAACTGAACTATCAATACTGCAACAATTTGAATGAATCTTCAGATAATTATGCTGGGTGGGGGGGCAAACCTAAAAGGATACATACTACATGACCCTATTTATAGCATTCTTGAAATGACAAAATTACACAAATGGAGGACAGATCTGGGATTATCAGGGGTTAGGGATGGGAAGTGGATATGTCAACAAAAGGGAACATGAGGGATCCTTGCAGCAATGGAACTATCCTGTATCTTGACTGTATTAATGTCAGTATCTTGGTTATGATATTTCATTATACTTTTGAAGATGTTATCACCAGGGAAACTGGGTAAAGGGTACAGGATCTTTGTGTAAGATTTCTTAAAACTGAATATAAATCTACAACTGCCTCAAAATAAAATACTTAAAATTTTTTAGATGGAAAAATGTAGGGATATTTAAGCAAAATCTTAAAATTACAGCCTAAACTAATAACAGTTATCTACATTCTTCACCAGTCCTCCTTCTGCTGCTATCAGACCACAGTGTAATTAACCGGTGGACTAAGGAACTTTAAGAAGCTACATTGTAAGAGCCATTGGTAAGAATTCAAACATACACTTCTCAGGATAGAGACCCCCACCATGAAAATTAACATTTCCAGTCCTGTGGTTGACACATAGAAGTCTTACCAACATCTCACTCATGTCTGAATAACAGATGAGACAACGGTCTCCCTGAAAATTTGACCACCACCACAGGACTGTAAATACAGTGGGAATAACTGTCACTCTGTTTCCATAAAAAGTGGGGAAAATAGGCTATCATTCTACGATCGGCAACCCCTTTCTTTTGCACATGCCCCTGAAAATGTTTTAGAAATTGAGCATGCTAAAGGTATGCAAAAATATATCCACCGTAGCAAAACATTATTTTCACTTAGGAAGATAATTTATATCTCCTAATTATGCCTCAACTTTCAGACTCACTCTTAAATGATACCATTTCTAACTTCCTCTTATACTTGTTCATTTTCTTCACAATCAAACCAGTCTTTTCCTGGCTTATGTCCAAAGGCTGTTCAATGCAAGCTAAAGACTCCTCAAATTCAGCATGCCTAATGATGTCCACCTTTGATCCATCTATAGCAGGTTTAGGAGATTTTTGTTTTTCATTTTTTGTTTTTCTTTTGTTTTATTAAGTAGTAAGGGCAAAAGTGCAATATTACAAATAATTGCATAAATACTATTACATAAATTCACATGCAACTATTGGTGGGGGCATCACCGTGGAATAGATTACATCATGTTGGTTCATCAGGAGAGAAGGAAAACCGAAATTTGGCTTATGAAAAGGCAGCTCGGGATGTTTGTAACATACAAACACATGGTACAAAATAATGCAAAAGTTGGGAGCAATCGTACCATCGAGGCCATTCCTCATTCTGCCACACATCACGCATCAGTGACTCTCAGCGCTGGTCCAGCATTACTCAAGATAATTGTTAATTATGTAGATTCCTAGAGATTAGCCAAGGTCTACTGACTCAGAACCTCCTGGGGTGGGGGCCAGACAAATTTGCTCTTTAACATGTTCCCCAGGTGTTTTATTTGCAATTTGCAAACCCAGGCCATAAATATTCATAAAGACACAGACAACACAGTGCTTCCCACTCGGGACTGCCAACAAAGAGTTCTCCAACAAATGCTCCATGAGGAGGGCCTCTGTGATGTGTGCTTTCCCAGAAGTGGTACACAGAAGGCTTTGAAGTCGAGCAATGTGAGATGCTGTCA